CCCGTTCCAGACTTTGAGGCCGGAGATGCACTATAAGAGTGACAGTTAAATCCCACTATTCGGTCGGACAAGAGTAAGTTAAGAGTTATCAGTGAGTGTTGTTGGTTAGCTGCTCCCCCCCCCCCCCAGTCTATCAGTTCACAATTAGGAACGGCTATGAACAGTTAACACTTTGTTTAGCTTTGCGTAAACATTCTGGAACAAATGCGTAAAGTTAATTCTGAAATTTCACAGCTCAGTTGATTGCAAGCTAATATTTTTTTTTCATTATTCAACCTTGAAAGTAATGTTTTAGATTTTTCCATAAATTGTAAAACCAAGTTACAGAATGTGAAAGTGGAAAAATATAAAGTGTATTCTAGTTTTGGAGATGTCTGTGGAAATAGGCCCCACAAAGCGGTGGGGATTCACTATATAGCAGACTTAGTCTCTTTTCGCCTACCTCATAAACTGTAAAAAAGAAAGACAGAACAGATGTCAGTGCCCAAGCCTACAATGTCCCACATCCTTATCCCTGATAGAGAGAGAGGGGAATATTACTACTACTGGGGGGTGATAAGTAGAAACTTATATCCTGATGTTGGCATTCCAGACAACGTTGTTGTTGTATTATGAACTTCAATTTAGTTAAGCAGTAGAAAAAGAAATATTACTTTAAAGGCTCAAAAAATACTTGAATATCCCTACCAAAGATATTACCTGAACAACGTGGATAGTTGATAACGTAGAACACAGGATAATTGATAACTTAGAACACATGATTTTTTCATGACCTGATGAATGTCAAGTCACATATGAAAAAAACCCATAAAAGTTTCAAAGTTAATTTTTGAAATGTCTGAGAAAATAGGAACTATCTGATACGAAGTTAACGTATTACACAGCACATGTAAAGCAGTAAGTACGAATATAATAAAAATCACAAAAGAAATCAAAATATTGAAGATATTCTAAACGATTTGTAAAAACTAATAAGTTGTATAGAAGATGGAAGTATTGAGAACCAGACACATAACCTTGTATCAAGTCTAAAGAAATTATCAAAAACATCAGTTTAAGTGTCAAAAGAAAGTTATTAAAAACACAACGATGTGTATTTACCTGCAAACCTTAAGCCGTCTCTGTTATCATCCATCTTTTCTTGAATCAGTGTTTTTGCACTTATCCCAAAAACTGTTTGTAATCGAATCAATGTGAGGGCAGTACTGTCGAGGTCGGATTCATTTGGCTGAGTGAGTGGTTCCTTAAGATTGGTTATAATTTTGTGCACTTCTAGAATAAAAATTGCAAAAGGTTTTTTGTTCATTTCAGTGAGAGGTTAAATATTTATTCAAATATTTTATAACAATCTATCATATATCTTTAAAGATTGCTTGTTTGTTGATATTAGCACAAAGATACTCCAGGTCTATCTGCGTTATTCGTCACTAATTTAGAAGTGAAGGACTAGAGGGATTGTTTTTGTTTTGAATTTCGCGCAAAGCTACACGAGGGCTTTCTGCGCTAGCCGTCCCTAATTTAGCAGTGTAATACTAGAGGGAAGGCAACTAGTCATCACCATCCACCGCCAACTCTTGGGCTACTCTATTACCAACGAATAGTGGGATTGACCGCAATATTATAACGCCCCCACGGCTGAAAGAACGATCATGTTTGGTGGGACTAGAGGGAAAGCAGTTTGTTAGCATCACCCACCGTCAAATCTTAGGCTATTTTTTACCAACGAAAAGTGGGGTTGACCGTAACATTATAACTCCCCCCCCCCCATCGCTGAAGGGAAGAACATGTTAACATGTTCGGTGACAGGATTCGAACTCGCGACATGCAGCTTTCGGGTCAAGCACTCTAACTACCAGGCTATCTTAAACGAATATACAGAACTTGCATTAAAATATTTTTACACAGTAGAGTGTGAAAGTTTATATAAAATAAATCTTCCTAAATTGCGAGTTAAATTATTTAATTTCGGCTTCTTTTGAAGAATCGGAAAAAATCCTCCTTCAACTTTACCGATCATTCTGAACATGGGACGACATCACATTCACTTAGTGCATGCCGAACAATGTTTAAACCGTAACTTAGGTAACTGAAAAATATGTTTACCAGAAATTTTTAACTTAACGCCTTTTTTTGTGTCATGCTTTGAAACAATAACTATACACCATTACTACCAATAAAAGTTATTAAAAATTATGCCAAATGTATATATAGAGTAGCTATAGTAAGATATAACAAGAGTTTTAGGCATAAGCTTTCGCCAAATTACTTTCTCAAAATTATTTAGCAATAAAAAAACGTTAAATGTCAGCAGATGACAGGGAGCTAGTTTGAGATGGTTAGAATATCTCGATCCTTTGGGCTTAATATATCATGCAATTCTTTTATGATTTGCAATGTCGCTCTTTCTAAATACAACCCATGTCGCTCTTTTTAAATACAACCCCCGATTTCAACAAATTTTAGAATACAACTATTTCATTTCCTGGTGTTCAAGGCTTAATTCTGTATTTGATGCTGAGCATAAAACTGTAACACAATGGACTATATGTGCTGTGCCTATCACTTAAATTAAACTCTTAATTTTATCGTTATAAGCCCTCAAGTTTACCGCTGAGCTACCTAGGTGGCTGTGGTTAAGTCAATAATATTTTACAAAATATTTTGCAATTTGTATTTTATAGAATTTTCATCAGATGGCAATAGTGGTAACGAGCTTGTTAATCTAGTAGCTATCTTATAAGACGGGGTTGTCGTAGTAATGTTACCTGTCTTAACATGCAAAACGTGGTAAGTCACGTTGGCTAAAGTAAAATTGAACCCTCTCTGTTAAACAACTTAAACATATTTATATTTATTATGTATTTTAGACATTATCCAATACACCTTTCCAGAAAGACGTCATAACATCACGTTAATCTTGTTATTTTTCTCCTAGTGTTTGCCATATTGTTTATTTAAGGCAGTGAAAAAAACTTGAAAATGATATTTCACTGTTGCACATATGGCTGCACAGGTAGATATGGCTTAGAACCGGGTATGTCTTTTTGCAGATTTCCAGCTAATTTAAAAACAAGATCAGTATGGGTTATTGTATGTATGAGACAAACTTGGTAAACTTCACAGTACTCCGGTATTTGCAATGTATGTATTGTGAAAATATCAGAATAAATTTTTAAGTAATATTTGTATAAGTTGAAACTTTGTCATTAAGCACGTGCATAAATATCAATCTATTTATTAATTATAGAAACTATTGATACTTGATAAGGGCCCCATATAATTTCTACGAGTACTAATGACTAAATTATCTAATTACAATGATATAGATACCGTCGTTATATTAGACCCAGATCAGACAGACACCACTGTGTCGTAAACCGAGTGTGGTACAAGTAACATCACAATAAATAAATAATATTAATACTCAATACTAATGACAATAAAAAGCGACTATAAGAGATGAAAGAGAGTAGAAGATAGAAAAAACAAAACTCACTCTAGCAATTACAAACACACAAGTCACAATCTCTTATTTGCACGTCAGACACACATCCTGCTAAGAAGAATTTATAACCATCCAAGTTTTTATAGCATTTCATAATTTCGTGGGTTAAATTAACAAGATACACATAAATATCACAATATCTGGAAACTGATCACGTTTTGACTTATCATCAGACAAGTCATCGGCAAGAAAGGTCGTCCAGATCACCTGTAGAATAATAGATAGATCGAACATAACATAATCATCCGTATCAAGTTGTCTCAATTTACTGTCATAAGCCATTTCGGCATATTTTTCAAAATTCATAGAATATTTACACACATTTTTTGTTATCAAAAGACATTGGACGACTAACGACTTGACATCCAAAATGGCGGATGGTAATGTTGCACATCCCATAAATCACGGGATTTGAAAAGGTCTATTTGTGTTGTTGAGTATGGTAGCATGACACACGGGATAATGTTTTCGACTACACCTGTCCTTTAATCTTGCAAAAGTTTTGAAAATTTAAGAAAATTATAAAGTACCTCATTTTATAAAGTTGTTTTGCTTAAGAATTTAAACGGTTTTAGGCGTTGCTTAATTATTATTTTTTTCTGAATAAAAACCACAAAAACTGGATAACCTATAAATTACTTTCCATCGTGTTATTTAATAGCCCCCTCTCCCTCATGGGACAATGGTAATTTTACGGACTTACATCGCTAAAATACGGGGGTTCGATTCCCCGCGGTGGACGCAGCAGATAGCCCAATGTAGCTTTGCTCTAAAATAAACAAACAATGTTATTCAATAAAAAAATGCACGTGTTACATAAAAATCAGCACTAATATTTGATATCTTCCTAGCCAGTTAATTTGGGTGTACAACTACAGCTGTATTTAATAATAACAAAATTATTAATGATAAAATATTTGAATAATATTTATGGCTTAAAAAACATTGAATAATTGTTTGTTTCATTCAATTATTTCAATTTTATTTATGAGAAACATCTCAACTATATCATAATTCTATAACAGAATAAACAACAGTATAGTATTTGTTAAATAATTTCGAAATAGAAACGAATTTGAACATACCTAAATGTTTTTTACTTTCTAGAATCGAAGATATTGTATCCCATTTTGCTGAAAATTGTTTTATCAAAAAATAGGCCTGAACTGGATTTTCTTTGTATTCGTCATCTTTTGTTAATCCTTGAAATTCGCTCACGTAACTGTAAAAAGAAATAGCACTTGAAGTTATATTGCACATCATAACAATTAAGCTCCCCCCAGTGGCACAGCGGTATGTTTGTGGACTTATACCGCTACAAACCGGGTTTCGATACCAGTGGTGGGCAGAGCAGAGATAGCCCATTGTGTAGCTTTGTGCTTAAATACAAACAAACATAACAATAATTACTGCTCAGAAGCTGCAACCTGATCTAATCCATTTACGTCCTTTTTAATCTATTCATATCAGTTTACGTCCTTCCACTACAGTCACTTTCGTTATAATCTAATTCATAAAAAATATTTAATAAAAGCCGGTTAAAAACTGTTCTGTTGATTATACTTTTGGTGTTTTATTTACAATTATTGACCCTTCACTTAATAATGAAAATACTTGATTTATTTGATTATTTGTGGTTCTTGTTACTAAAAACCTTTGTCTCTACATCATGAAGAACAACTTTGAGTTTGGTATAAAAAAAATCAAGAAAAATGAAGCATACTTCACGAAGCGAGAAAATAGTTTCTTCTGTTTCTGTTCCTCATTTAATATCGGTGATCACGGTTTCACAACAGGTGGTTGCTGTTTGGCTCGTATTTATAAAACGAAAAAAGAACATAAATAACAACACTGTGATAAGGATTTGTGTAAACATAAGTGAATCTAAAGTGTATATATATATATATATATATTGTGTTTAGGAACCATGAAACGAAGACGCGAAGGAGGTACAAGGGAAAGGTAATTAAGGGTTCTGAGGGTACAGCAAACTCCCTAACTTGACAAACGGGGTGTTGTGCATGCGTGATCATCATTATATACGTGTTTTTTTTTTCTGTGTGTGTTTTTGAAGTTAAGCACAAAGTTACACAATGGGCTATCTGTGCTTTGCCCACCACGGATATTAAAACCCGGTTTTTGGCGTTATGAGTCCGCAGACATACCGCTGTGCCACTGGGAAGCTCGTATATAAGGATTTCAATTTTGTTCAATAGTTTTCAGCAAAATGCTTCAGCTTTAATGAGCAAGTACAGAAAAAAAATAATGATTTAATTTTAACGTTTTACCTAATCATTTAAGTTGAGTGTGCATGGATATTTCGATATCAGATTTGTTTGGACCCGGTTTGTTTTCGTAACGGTAAGTACAAAAAAAAAAGATTTTGTCTTTAATAAGATTATGTCTATACTCTTATTTCGATTTTTTCGCGTTGTTTTTATAAAATTTGTTAAAGTAATATACAGTTCTTAGCACATGAATAGTGATGACATTTACTTTACTCACAAATATAAGAAATCCGACAATCCGTGAAAAAGGAGGGTCTACTTTCGAAAGCACTCGAGTTATCTGGATTTTGTGTTTCTGATCATACGTGATTTTTTCTTTTTTATGTATTATGAAGGCATCATAAATAATTTAATAATAATAATAATTTAATAAATTAAATAATTTTCTTGCGGTAAAGAGAAAGCTTTACTTTTATTGAAAGAAGCTTGATGTACAAAGGTACCT